CTCATTTAATTCACCTAGTTGACTCCCATACAAAAAAAAAAAAAAAAAAAACCCTCACTGCCATTGAGTCAATTCTGACTCATAGCAACCCCCTTTGGGTTTCCGAGATGGTGAATCTTTATGGAAGTAGATTGCCAAGTCTTCCTTCTTTAGAGTGGCTGGTGGGTTTGAACTGCCAACCTTCTGGTTAGCAGTCAAATTCCTTAGACATCACACTACCAGAGCTACTTGTTGACTCCCATAAGTAGTGAATTTTGTAAATTCTGTTATAAAAGCTTATTGTTGTTGTTTGCCATCGAGTCGAACCCGACTCATAGCAACCCCTCCTTGGATTTCCGAGGTAGTATCACTACAGAAGTAGATTGCCCCATCTTCCTTCCGAGGTGTGGCTGGTGGGTTTGAACTGCCAGCCTTCTGGTAGCAGTCAAGTGCCTTAGGCACTACACTACCAAAGGTCCCGTTATAAAAGCTTAGGCAGTCCTAATTTGTTTTTTAAAATATTGTAAATGAATGTTTTAAATTACTTTTTTTGTGGCAAACAAAGTTACATATTGTCTATGGCTGTTTTTGTACTACAATGGCAGAGTTGAATAGTTGCAACAGAGATCGTAAGAAGATGTAATGCGTATGATATTTGTTTGCCACAGACACGTTTATAATGCATCCAGCAAAGGAGAGCTTGAGCCAGGAATCTGTTAATTACCATAAATTTTGAATCAGTTGGGTCCAAGATAATGAAGCATGACTTCAAATATCTTCCCTTTCTGTATGTGGAAGTCCTATAACAGATTGGGAAAATTGGCCTTGTGATCAAATGTCCTTTCTCCATCTTTCTTTAAAGATAGAGAAAACTCAGTAGAACTTAGTACATTGAAGAAACTAGATCTTTGGGGGAGATCTGGTAAGTAAGTTCTTTGTTAGATTGAGGCTATTTCAGGCCATCTAAAGAATAGTCTTAGGAGCTCTGGTAGCATAGTGCCTAAGGCACTTGACTGCTCACCAGAAGGCTGGTGGTTCAAACCCACCAGCCACTCCTCGGAAGGAAGGTTGGGCAATCCTACTTCCGTAGTGATACTGCCTCGGAAACCCAAGGAGGGGTCGCTATGAGTCGGGGCCGACTCCACAGCAAACAACAACAACAACAACAACAAAGAATAGTCTTAGAAAGAGACATAATGGAATGCTTGTCAAATCCTGTGAAATCATAAACTTCTTAGAGTAAAAATGAAGACATCTCTTAAAGCCTGGCTGATTGTGAGGCAAATACCATGTAGTCATGGAAGCCACCTTACTGGGTGCCTCATGTGTGCCCAGCTTTGCCGACATTGTCTGGCCACAAGTGGAACCCTACGTTTCAGAAGTGGAATCTGAAGTTAGACCCAAGTTCCCATCTTCAGTCTGCCCCCAGCTAAGTGAGTGACCTTGGGCAAATGACCTAACATGAGACTCAGTTTCTCAGATGGGGACAATAATAATATCTGTCTCGGAGTAAACATTAAATAAGATATAATGCACTTAGCACAGAGCCCGACACAGTGGACATGCTCAGTAATTTGGACCCATCATTTTTTAACTTAATCCTTGCAATAGCCCTGAACGGTAGGTAGTGGTACTGCTGTTTTACAAATGAGGAAACAAGCTCATAGAGGAAAGCCATACAAAGGCCACACAGCTGGTAATAATAAAGCTTGGATTCCATCTGCCTGAAAACTCATGTTCTTTCTTTTATACTCTGCTTCCTCTTGAATTGAATGCTTATTACTGGAGATCCTTAAGAAATGTTCTGGTTTTTGTTGTTGTTGTCAGGTGCCATTGAGTTGATTCTGACTCATAGCAACCTTACGTAAAACAGAATAAAACACTGCCTGGTCCTGTGCCATCCTTACAATTGTTGCTACGTGTGAACCCATTGTTGTAGCTACCATGTCATCCATCTCAATGAAGGCCTTCCTCTTTTTTGCTGACCCTCTACTTTACCAAGCATGATGGCCTTCTGCAGGGACTGGGTCCTGCTCATAACATCTCCAAAGTACACGAGACAAAGGCTCGCTACGCTCGCTTCCAAGGCGCGTTCTGGCTGTGCTTTTTTCACATCAGATTTGTTCATTCTTCTGATGGTCTGTGATACAGTCAATACTATTCTGCTACATCATAATTCAAATGTTTTAATTCTTCTTCAGTCTTCCTTTTTCATTGTCTAGATTTCTCATGTACATGAGGCAATTGAAAATACCATGGCTTGGGTCAGGTGCACTTTAGTGATATCTTTGCTTTTTAACACTTAAAAGAGCTCTTTTACAGCACATTTCCCCATTGCACTGTGGTGGTTGATTTCTTGACTGCTGCTTCCATGGGTGTTGATTGTGGACCTAAGTAAAATGAAATCCTTGACAACTTCCATCTTTTCTCCATTTTTCACAATGTTGCATTTTGGTCCAGTTGTGAGGATTTTTGTTTTCTTTATGTTGAGATGTAATCCATACTGAAGGCTATCATCTTTGATCTTAATCAGTAAATGCTTCAAGTCCTCTTCAATTTCAGCAAGCAAGGTTGTGTCATCTGCATATCTCAGGTCGTTGATGAGTCTTCTGCCAATCCTGATTGCTGTGTTCTTCTTCATGTAGTCTGGCTTCTTAGATTATTTGCTCAGCATACAGATTGAATAAGTATGATGAAAGGATACATCCTTGACACACACCTATCTTAACTTTAAACCACACAGTATCACTTTGTTCTGTTTGAACAACTGCTTCTTGGTCTATGTACAGGATCCACATGAGCACAAGTAAGCGTTCTAGAATTCCCATTTTTCAGAATATTATATTGTTATGATCTACACAGTTGAATGCCTTTGTATAGTCAATAAAATACAGGTAAAAATCTTTCTGGTATCCTTTGCTTTCAACCAAGATCCATCTGACATCAGCAGTGATATCCCTCATTCCACTTCCTCTTCTGAATCAATCTTGAATTTCTAGCAGATCTCTGTCAATGTACTGCTGCAACGGGTTTTGAATTATCAGCAAAACTGTACTTGTGTATGATACTAATGATAATTGTTTGATAATTTCTGCATTCTGTTGGGTTACCTTTCTTTAGAATGGGCACATATATGGATCTCTTCCAGTCCGTTGGCCAGGTAGCTGTCTTCCAAATTCCTTGACATAAACAAGTGAGTGAGTGCTTCCAGCACTGCCTCCATTTGTTGTAACATCTCAATGGTTATTCCATCAATTCTAAGAGCCTCGTTTTTTGACAGTATCTTCAGTCTAGCTTAAACCTCTTTCTTCACTACTGTCAGGTCCTTTATCATATACTTCCTCCTGGTATGGTTAAACATTGACCAATTCTTGTTGGAACAGTGACTCTGTTTTCCTTCCATCTTCCCTTGATGCTTCCTGTGTCATTCATTATCTTGCCCGTAGAATCCTTCAGTATTGCAACTCAATGCTTCAATTTTTTCTCTAATTCTTTCAACCTGAGAAATGCCGAGCATGCTCTTCCCTTTTGGTTTTCTAACTCCAGGTCTTTGTACATTTCATCATAATAATTTGTCTTTTTGAGCTGCCCTTTGAAATCTTCTGCTCAGCTCTTTTACATCATTATTTCTTCCATTTGCTTCACCTACTCTACATTCAAATAAGTCTAGTTTCTGGTAGTCTTCAGTTTATCTAGATAAAGTCACACATGCCCAAGGAAGCTCCCACAGTCCTTTTCAAATAGACAGTCCCCTTCAAATTACTTGATGAATCTTTGTAATATAAAGACCCATGGTTCAAACAGTTAGCACACTTGCCTGCTAACTGAAAGGTTGGAGGTTTGAGTCCACCCAGAGGCAGCTTTAAGAAGACCTTGGTGATCTACTTCTGAAACATCAGCCATTGAAAATCCTATGGAGCACAGTTCTACTCTGACCACATGAGGTTGTCATGAGTTGAAATTGACTTGCTAGCAACTGGTATGTATGGTCCTACCACAGAGCTCTAGAATCAGAACCTCAGAGGTGCAGCAAAGTATCTACTTCAAAGTAGAGACAAAGTAAAGACCTCCTGGATGCTTCTGCAAGTCAGGAGTGTCCTGGTTAGGAGTTACTGTGTGACTCTGATATCTCTAACCCTCTCGCTGTTAAGGCTCTCTTTTTTTCCTGCCTCTGGGGTTTTCTTATTAAATTAGCTGTTTTCCTTCTGGCAGATTTGCATTTTTTTTCTCCCTGCCCCCCACATCTCATCTAGATTGGCATTTCCCCAAGCTGTATCCATTGGCACACAGGAAATCCCTGTGTGGATGTGGCAGGAGGAAGTAGTACTTACTTTCTCGGTGATGGCTTCTGGGAAAGGAAACAGAGAAGACTTAGTTACCCAAATGCTAGGGCCTAAGAGGTCCCTGGGTAGAACAAGTGGTCTGTCCTACTGTTCTACTCATGGCACTGTGGAAGAAAGGCCTGGTGATATGCTTCTGTAAAGATTATAGCCAGGTAACCCTATGGAGCACAGTTCTACTCTATTATCACATGGGGTTACCAAGAGTGGGAATCGACTCAGTGATAACAGGTTTGGTTTCTTGTTTTTTTTAGGGCTTGGGAGGGCAATTTCTAGAGATGGCCATGGAGGTATGGGATCCTGTGGTTCCAAGCCCTATACCTTTTCTTTTGTCTCTAACATAAAATCATGGTCCAAGTAAGTATTCCTCTTGGTAGTACTTGATGGCATAAATGAGGATTGCTCAAGAACCTGACCATTAGGGAAATATGGCTGTTTCTGTGCATTAACTAGTAACACTCATAAAGGAAGGGTGAGATTAACAATCAGTGCAGTGAAGACATAAGTGTACAGCTGAAGAGCTCTTGGGTCACACCCAAATTTCCATCACCGTGACCCAGTAGAATTATAGGAAGGTAGGACTGAGTTGTGGTTATAATCCACCTGTGCCCAATGGGATCATACAGTGCTCCTTGGGGAGCACAGCCAGGCCATGCTCCATCTACCTACTCTCTGTCGTAGGCTTTGGAGGAAGATCTGAACCAGAAGAAACGGGAACAGGAGATGTTCTTCAAACTCAGCGAAGAATCAGAGTGCCTGAACCCTCCCACCCCAAACAAGACCACCAAGTTCTTCCCCTACAGCTCTGCAGACGCTTCCTAACGGCCACCTGGGACTGTGGCTTGCAGGTGGCCCAGCCTCTGGGGCCCTCCCATTCTCTGTGAACAAGTAACTCAGGACCCACATTCCTCTTACTTCTGCGCCAGCTTGAACCCAGCCCCTTGCCCTGTGTCACCCAGCAGTTCCTGGCAAACCTGTCCCAGTGTCCCTGATGCTCATATGCTCATGGAGGGGGACATCCCATTTTATGAAGCCTGACCTTAATGCCTGTTGCTAGGGTCAGGGTCCAGGAAGAGTGGGTGTTTTGTGGCCTCAAGCCCTACCCCCCCATTTGCCAAAACACCGGATTCACTGTCTATGGGACCAAATTGCTGCTGCTGAAGTCATCATGGCTCATCTATGTTTTAATCCTAGATGGTTTTCAGCCCTTATCTGCAGGATATCATACAAGACTCTGCTCCAAACAACCATTTTGGTTCCGACTGGAGCCCAGCCTGCAGCCAGCTGCTCGGGGAGTGCCCTCATCCCTCCAGTTCCTAGTTTGCCTTTCACTTGAGAAAAGGCTGTGTCTGCAGGTAGGGGAGGTAGAGGGAGGCCCAAAATGTTTGTTCTGCTGATCTCAGGTGTCCTGTGGCCCCCCTACACACACACACACACACACACACACACACACACACACACACACGAATTGGCCTCCCGGCACAAACCAGGCCTGCCTCCAGCCTGAGTCTCTTGTGTGCAGGTGGTTGGAACACGTTTGCTACTGAGTGTGTTGGGTGGAAGAGCTGGTATGGAGAGTGGTGGGTGTTGGCACCAGAGACAGAGAGAAGGCACAGGCTGTACTCCAGACTCATTTTGGCCCCCATGCAGGAGGCTCTGTTTGGGGATGAATTCCTTACCACACAAGACTTTGACAGTGCAGCCAACTCCTGTCTCATACTTGCCCACCTGTCCACAGGTGATTCAGGAAAGCTGTTTCCCTCCACCTGTGCCCCCTCCTAGTTCAGGAGTATGGCTTTACATTTCAGACTGAGGCTGGCCATCACTTGAACTTCTCTTCAAGAAGAAAAAGCATCAGGGAAAAGCTTAGGGCTCCCTGTCCCTAGGAACATGGCAGAAGCAAAGGTCTCAGATGGAATCTTGGGCTTTCAGCTCACTCTCTTGGCCTCTACAGATTCTGATCCTCACAGGCCACAAAGCATGTCTAATCCAATAAAAGGAACTGCTCGAACCAGCATTTGGTTTATTTATAAAGGAAATCTTTTTCCACCTTGATTTCTAATTGTCCATTTAAACAAATATAAAACGTATGGCTTCCTCAGGAAGATACCTGCCTTAAAATGTACACACACATACACACACAGACACAAGTGATGATAATGTTCAGGAATCACCTGAAGTTTAGTGCATAGTGAGCCTGGGTATTATTTTGCTGGTTGATGGAGTGACTGAAACACCCCAAGAGCACTTTCCTTCATTCCTAAAGGTTAAGGTCAATTCTTTGTCTTTCTAAAGCAATTCTCAGGAAGTTTTCTCAGCACTGGTTGTAACTGGATACTTGGGAAGCAAAGAAGGGATTTGGGGACTTGGGGTTCCCAAGTCTCAATAAGCAATAGTGATGCTCTCAGGGCTGTGAGGGAGGGTGGTTCTCCTACTTGCCTGCTTCAGTATTTGACCCAGGTGGGACATTTTCTGGGCCCCACACAAATGGGACACATTCAACAACACCCCCCTTTTATTCTCTGGTGCATAAATGCTGGGAAAACACAAACCAGAAGTTGTATAAATATATAGCATAAACCAGTTCCGCCAAGGGAAGCCAGCAGGGCTGGTGTGGGTCTTGTCTCCAATATTTCTTTTTGTAGCCTGGAGTGTGAAGATGAGTATGAGGTGAATGTCAGGTTCATGGATCAGGTGAGTCTTCAGTCATTCCCTTATTTGGCTTGTCATTCCCAAGGAATCCCCTTCCAGAAGTGGCTCACTCCCTGTGCAGGGCCATGGACCCTGATGCCCTTTCTGGATGAGGACTGCTCGGCTCTCGCAGCCTCACCACTGAGCCAATGTGCAATGCCCACTGCTGCGAAGACCCACGCAGTATTCCTCGTGCCCAGTGCTAACATTTTCTCTCTAAGGGACAGGCAGAACTGTTTCTCATTTTCAGTCCCATTTTTAGCAGAATAAATATAACTAACTTATATTTTCCCTTTATGAAGGATAGAAGTTATTTTTATGTAGTTTCCAAACTTTCTATGAAACTTTTGTAAAATGTGCTCTGCAAAGTTAACTGCAAGAATGTAAAAGCTTCTAATAAAGTAACAAGGCAAGAAACTATTTATTTATTTTGCATTCTGAGGTGTTCTTTTGGGACTTGGGTGGGAAAAAGAGGGCACATTTACCCACATTTGCCTGGTGAGAAAGGGTTGAGTATCTTTTGAGGACACTACTGCCTCCCAGGTTATAGAGCAGGTCAGAGCTTGAGGTTTCTCTTCTGAGAGAAGTTGTACTTGGCCATGTGTTCTGTAAACATTTGAGACCATTCTTACTTAACAACAAACATTAATTGACCCCTAAGAATTTTCATGTTAAATTACTGAATCCTTTCAGCCACCCATGAGGAAGACAGTGTCATTCCCATCTTAGAGGTGAGGAAATGGACACCAGGTAAGGTGACGTGTCAAGCCAAATCTCACAACACCAGAAAGCAATGCCTATGGGATTCATGCTGAGACCTTCTACAAGTGCTGTTCCAGCCACACATTCTCTTCCTCACCCCACTGCCCTTGACAATAATCAAGAGTCACACAAACACTTTACCGTTAGCTATCTCTTCCCTATTGGAAAGAGTTTGTCAGCCATACCTCTAAAACGCCATCCAGGGGTTCTAAACCTGTGGTCCATGGATCTGCCCATCACCAATAAGGCATCCATGGGTAGGGGCCAGAGTGTGTTTGTACTTGGATGGGAAAAGATTTGGTCTTTCATTTTAGTAACATCTTAACAGAAAATAAGTATTTCCTTTCATTACAAATACAGCAACAAACTCTGGTAGTATTAGCTGTACCTATGGCTATGTCACCACCAATGAAAATCACAGATATTTCATACCACATTAAAGTTGTAGCAGACAGTGCAAAATACGTGTTTTGTTCATCAGCAATTTGAAATTGTGGAGTTTATTAGACCTGTTGTCACATATTATTTAATATGTATTCATCATCCATCTGTTGTACTGTGGTGGCTTGTGCGTTGCTATGGTGCTGGAAGTTATGTCACCAGGATTTCAAACACCAGCAGGGTCACACATGGTAGACAGGTTGCAGCAGAGCTTCCAGACTAAGACAGATGAGGAAGAAAGGCCTGACAACTTCCTTCCAAAATTTAGCCAAGGAAAAGCCTCTGGATCACAACAGAATATTGTCCAGTATGGTGTTAGACTGGGCAACATTTCATTCTGTTGTGCATGGAGTTGCCATGAGTTGAAGCCTACTCGACAGCAGCCAACAGTTACAACATAGATGGACAGTAGATAGATGATAGATTGATGGGTAGATAATAGATAGATTGATGATGTCTGCTGTTGAGTCCATTCCAATTCATACAGACCCTAAAGAACAAAACTGAACAGCCCTATAGGGTTTTCTAGCGTGTAATCTTCACAGGACTAATGATCAGATCTTTTCTCCCATGCAGTCACTGGGTGGTTTCAAACCACTGACTGACCTTTCAGCTAACAGACAAGCTCTTAACCATTGTGCCATCAGGGCTCATGGATTTGTCTAGTGTGTATGTATATAAAATATATGTGTATGTGTATAGATCACCAATAAATCACATATATTGTTTTAATATCGTATGACATAATATATAGTTTTAGCATTATTTTGATACCTGTATTTCATTATGATTGGTTACCTTTGTAATCCTATGTGCTTTATTTAATATACTTGAAAATATTCTGAGTAGGGATGCATATTCTTTGTGAAACTCCAAAGGAGTCCTTGACACACACACACACACACACACACACACACACAGAACCTACTCTATCCCCTAAGTTACTGGTGGTGCAAATGGTTAATGTACTCAGCTGCTAACCTAAAGGTGGAAGGTTCAAGTACACTCAGGTACCTCAGAAGAAAAACCCGTGATCTCCTTCCAAAAAGGCAGCCAGGCAACCGTTGAAAATTCTGCAGAGCACAGTTCTACTCTCACATAAGGTCACTATGAATCAGCATAGACTCCATGGCAACTGGTTTAATCTCCAGCCCCAAAATGGCTCTCTTAGAAACTTTCCCACCAGCTGGTGGCAGTCCACAATCACACAGTGTCATGCAGCTCTGTGACTTGGTGCCAATGAGGACACAGCATTGACTACTGCCTGGAGGGTGCAGGTGAATAAGATCTAGCATGCCTCCTCTTATTAAGGGCTGGAAAAATAACCAGGTTTACTGGAAAAAGAATTCATGAGACACTGATGAAAATGACAATGCATTAGGGGATGTCTGGAACTTTGGAAATGAGATCATTCCGTATAAATTGACACTTATCTAGCAACAAGCTCTAGGAATGCTGACATGAATAAGGCCTTCAAAATGCTTGGTCCAATGAGAAACAGATCTGGGAAGAGAGTACCAATTCAGCATGACATAGCATGGGAGAATCAGGGAGGACCTCTCAGAGGAGGTGATGTTGATGCTTGAAGGACAAACTAGTATGTGTACAAACACATGCATTCAGAGACTGGGATATAGCTGAGAGTGAATGGTTTATGGTCATGAGGCTGGAGAGATAGGGCCAGATCAGGCAGGCCCATGCATACCAGGCCAAGACCTTCCCTTGAGGGCTGTGAGAAGGCTGGGTAAGAGTTTAATAAGGAGGATAGTTGAAATCACGACCTTAGCAATTCAAGAGACCAGCTGAGAAGGAACGGCCAAATGAATGAATGTTCAGCAGGAATATTGGCCTACAAAGGTTTGAGGCTTTGAGAAGGAAAGGAAGAATGGCAAGCTCCATGAGGGCAGGAATGAATTCTGATTCGCCAACCCCTGAACACCCAGATTTAGCATGTAGCATCTGAGATACCCTTTCTGGGCTCCTCATGCCATAAAGGATCTTCAAAGGGAGCATAGGGTGTGTAGGCTGTAAACTGGATATAATCCACTGTGATTCCAGAGGTGTTCTCTAGTTGTGATTAACAAGTACATTTTTGGTTGAAAATAAAACTGGAAGAACTTCCCCTTCCAGTGATCACAGGCAAGGTAATTCA